CCCCCCTCCCCCCATTTAATCAAATTTTAATGAAAAGATTATGTAATAATGCAGCGCAAAAATAAAAAATGCTTGGAAATAGTAGTGCATAAATCAGAGAATTAATTTGCATAGTCACAGTATTTAATTTTGCAATTTTAACCGATTTAGGGGTGAATATGTCTGTTCGCTCCAAGAGAAAAGTGCCTTAAGGGTTGCAGCACAAAAATCGAAAATGCTTGGAAATAGTAGCGCATAAATCAGAGAATTATTTTGCATAGTCAGAATATTTAATTTTGCAATTTTAAACGACTTAGGGGTGAATATGGCTGTTCGCTCCAAGAGGGAAGTGCTTTAAGGGTTGCAGTGTAAAAATTGAAAATGCTTGGAAATAGTAGCGCATAAATAGCGCATAAATCCTGTGTATTTAATTTTCCAAATCGATTGTATTTAACGGGTGGAGAGACTGACTGACTGCCTACTCAGCCCCCCATAAAAAAATTTTTTTTATTGTAGCTAAACGGAATGAGCACAAAAATTTTTTTTGCGAATATGAATAGCGCATAAATAGCGCATTTTTACATAATTTTGTCATTAGGATTTGGTTAAGTGGGGAGGCCAGCTAGGCGGACGTCATTTCTTATACCACAAGTCGTTAAAAATTACAAAATTACTATGCAAAAAAAATATCTTTGATTTATGCACTACTATTTTCAAGCAATTTCGATTTTTGCACTGCATCCCTTAAAGTCTACGACGATCAGTTTTAATCGCATCATCCTAAAGCTATATTCAAGTTTGCTACCACACAACTCTGGCTTTACATCGTACCTCAAAATATTACATTTGCGTGCTTGCACGGGAGAAGCGTTAGTTTACATCATTACATCGTGACATAATGACATGGTAATGGGTACGCCGCGATTGAAATTACGCGTCCTAGTCGATCGGTGGTGACACATTATGGTCGTGATACCGATAGGATGTGGGGCCCCACACGCGACCTACTGTGTGTGTGCGTGCATGCGTGCAAGCCTTTGTGTATGCATATACCTATATACAATCTCAACGTACACTTATCCAATGCGATCACTATACATTATTCCGCCTTAAATGCTGCATAGCTCCATTAATATTGATGCCCGGTTGGCTTTGGGCTTCTGCGAGTAGCCACATCTCTATATAGGATGTTAAGCAAGAATAGATCTCCATCCTGGAGGAGCCCTCGTAATCGTACGATTACGCCGTAATTGCTTGGGGAAGAATTCAATCCGATCAAGTTGGATTTGAATTTTTTAATACATATGAAGTTATAAATACTGATAATATTCTGGAAAAAATTAACCCTTACCGCACAATCTACAATTTGGTGCCTCATCTATACCATCAAGGGTCACTTCAAATCTCTTCGTTTTTTCACCTCTTCAAAATAATTTTAAAAATCTCTAAAAATTCACCAACATA